GGCCGGGCCCAAAGACAAGGGCGGGAGCCGCAGCAGCCCGGCCACAGCAGGAAACCCAGGGGACGTGGAGTCCCACCGTCCCCCGGCCGGGCTGAAGCCCCCGGGCCGCTGCCACGATCCCACCGCTACACCCTCCCTCTCCCCCTCCCGCGGGCCAGGCTGCCCCCACACCCTGCAGCCTCCCCCTGCCCAACCCTGCTCCCCAGGCTGGTAGACCCCCCATCTCCCAATCCCACCACACTGCCACCCCAAGGCCCCAGGGTAATGCCCAGCCCCACCAGACCCCAACAGAGAGGCAGGCACTGCAGGGAGGGAAGTGTTTATTGCGCTCGTCCATACAAAAATAGGTCTTTACACAAAGGGGCCCTCCCGGCCCCAGCCCGAGCGCGGCGGTATTGCTTCAAGTGGGGGGGCAGCCCCAGCTCCACGCCCCCACCCTCCCCACAACAATAAATAAGGCAAACAGGACTTCTCATCCCATCTGCCTGGCCCCCCCCTTAGTGTTCACAGGCCCCTACCCTGGCAGGTCTAAGGCAGCAGGACCCAGGCCAGTGGCCAGGCACAGGGCCAGGCACAAGAGGCCACTGACTGCAAGGACACGGGCTGCTGAGCCCCAGGAAGGCAGAGGCCAGGGCCCTACAGAGGCAGTAGGTGCCAGGGCCCTGGGGCAGGGACTGGAGAAACAGCCCCAGCCCCGGGGCTCGCAAGAAGCCTTTCCTGTAGGCAGCCCAACCACTGCACCCCAGTGCAAAGCTCGCCAGCCTCTGCCCATGTCACTGCTCCAGTGTGGCCTGGCCACACTCTCAACACCAGGGACCCTGGCTGTCAAAGCACTGCCTTCAAGCTGATCACGCTATTACTGGGGAGGGCAACATGCCAGTGGGTAACACAGCGCAGTCGGGGTCTGGGGTGCCACCTGCGGGAAGGAACATGCTTCTGGGATAGGCCAGGGCCTCGGCCCTGGCCCTGTGGTGAGAACAGTTTATCTGGCAAGACAGGCATCCAGTTCACAAAACGAGGCTCAGAAACAGTGTACCCTGTTCTCACCATGGTCCAGGGGCCAGATGTGGCACTGGGGACACCCCTCCACCCTGGCTCCAGGTGCATGCAGGCTGCCAAGTTCTCCTGCTAGGCCCAGAGGGCAGGTTGCACTGGCTGACAAGGAGGCCTCTTGTGCTGGGTCGAAACAGAGTATTCTGGGGAACTTGTTCACATTGTAACTCATATATTAGATCTGTACCACAATGAAGTGTGAAAACTAACTCAGAATTAATGCAAAATCGACTGCACCTCAGATAAGCTACTGAAAAAATAGATTAAATCATATATTGTGAAGCTAAAGGGGGGGGGGGGGGAAAAAAAAAAAAAAAAAAAAAAAATCGGTGAAAGTATGCACAGGGGAAGCAGCCAGAGTGGGCCTAAATGAGCTCTGCCAGACCTCCACGCACTGCGGATGAGAGCTTGGGCCATGGCTGCGATGGGCTGCAACGGCTGTTCTTGTCTCACTTGGTTCCTCTGACAAGAAAACAAGCTTCATCCTTAGCTGACCAAGGGCACATGGCTGTTAAATATTTGCATGCAGCTTGTTTCAGACCCTGTGGCACTGTGACCAGGACCCCGCAGAACAAGGAGGGTTAGACAAGAGTGTTCAAACCAGTGGGATGTTAAAAACAGAACAAAGGTTGGATGCAGAGGTGGGGGGGGAGTGGGAGGCTTCAAGAAGTTACTACTTCCATGAAACCCAGATAAAAATTAAGCTTATTCAAACCATATGGAGCAAATGCAATCAGCCACTCTCCATGTTACGCTACGCAGCCCACCACAGCGCGTGCGCCAGCAAGCCGCCTTCACCCTCGATCATCATCTCCTTTCCCCAGAGCTGCTGCTCGATCCGGAGGGCAGCGTGGTTACAAAGACAAGAGAGGTAGATTAAAAAGTCATGATCAAAAGCAATTAGTCATCGAGGCTTGGATTTAAAAACAAGGGTTCCAGAAGACACAGAGTCTGCTGCTTCCAAAACCAGCTTGTTCAGTCTTCTCCCTCTGACAGAGCGAGTGTGTGTCCCTTCGTAGAGCTTGGAGGAACTGCTACATTGCTCTCTCCCAGGGGACACGGGTATTGCTGTCGAGCTGTGGCAGGTGAGGCGAGCGGCAGACTGCAGGATGGTGCGTTGTGCTGTGGGCACAGGGCTGCTACTTCCGCAAGTATCTCTGGGCCAGGATGGCTGCGTCCAGAGGGTTCATGGGCTGGGCGTCGTGCCCCAGGCGCCGCACGGGCGGGATGTTCCCAAACTGCCGCTTCTGCAAGAAGCTCTTGCCCTCATGCAGCGTGTTCTTCTCCTCTGCCAGGAGCAGCTGCTGCCTCATGTAGTTCTCAAACTCGTACTGCGAGCACTCCTCTGTCACCTTCACCTGCAGCCAGGACAGACCCAGTCAGAGCCAGTTGGCACTGGTCACGCATGCTCGCAGCCTGACCCCTTAACACCCTCGCTGGCCTCGGCCTGCTACAGGACTTGCTCCAGGGTGAACACAAGGGGAGGCACTCACCCCTCCTTGGGCACTCACCACTGCTACAGACAGCCCCAGACTTGCAGCTGGTAGATGGGGGCCATCTGTATCAAAGAAGCCAGTGACACTTGCAGCTGGTTACCTGCAAGATGGCTCTTTGGTGGCTTCAGGCTGACTGATGCTTTTTCCAAGCCCAGCAAGAAGCTTGAGTAAGTGGTCAGTGCCGCTTCCCACATGTTGGGAAGAGGCCTGGCTAGCGTGCGCAGCAGGCCAGGGGCTGGCAGGCACGTGGGTTCCCTGCTCACAGCAAACAGGATGTTTATGCACTTGGCAGGTGATCCTAGAGATACTGCTGCCCTGTTGCCCCCCCCGCCCCATGCTCCCGCTCCCTCCAGGAAACAAGCTCAACTGCAGAAGCAGGAAAGCCACAAGGTCACCTGAATGTGCCCCCAAGCTGGCTGCTCCCTGGACGGGGCTGCACACAGTGCTGCTGTTGCGCCTGCAAGTGTGGTTCTCACCAGCTGCCCAGCTCATGCCTCCCACAGCCGTTAGCACAGATGCTGTGGGCTCAGCAGAGGGACAGGAGAAGGCAGGAGCTGCAGTGGAGCAGCAGCAGTACAAGAGGAAGGCGTTAGCCCTGGGACAGATTTGTGTGGGCCTTTGGAAGAGCTGCTGGGCATCAGCCTGCTCTCAACAGCTCCCCACTCACTTGTGCTGATCCATCACTTGCCACTCCCAACACCACTCCCACTCCCTTCCTCCCCCTGCCGCAGCATCCTCACCTCCTGGGGGTTCTCTGGGTTGGCCACCTGGTCATCAATGTCAGGCACCACTTGCAGAGGGCCATTGAGTGAGGACATGGACTGCCTGTGGGGAGAGAGAGCATGAACAATGCAGGACAGAACTTGTGCAGGGCTTGGCCCAGCTGCCATGCAGGGACTGCAGAATTAGCTTGCCAGGTGCATCCGGGGCACTGCGGCGCATAGGTGCAGCCTTGGCTGTGCTTCCGATGGGCTGCTTCAAACCCACAGCTAACTGTTGTTCTGACTTGAAGGAAGTTGTGTTACCAGCGCCCAGAGCTCTACACAGGATGTGGGATTCGTAGTCTGGCCTAGGTACAAGTGAAAATAGCCACCGCTCCAGAAGTCACCAAGCCCGACGGCTGACTCAGGCAGGGCATGACTGCATCCAGCTTGGGAGCCCTTGGCCTCAGATGCTGGGGTCACAGTGCTGGATAGTCAGTGCCTACTTGGCACAAACATCTGCTGGAACGGGCAGCCACATTGGGATGGGTGAGGGGTGTGCCCATTTTGACTGTGGCTCTGCAATCCCTGGAGAGGCACCTTCAATCTCACTCCTACCACCCTTCCCAGTCTGCTCTAGATCCAAGCTCTCCCACTCCAGGTCTCATGCCTGGTTTTGCTGAGCCGGACCTGGGGAGCTGCCGTTTCTGTGGCAACGTGTTCCTGTTTCATGTGGGAGATGTCCCTGACCACACAAGGATGCAGACTCCCTCTGGTGACCTAGGAGCACTTACCAGGACGCAATGATGGAGCTGAGCGATTCCAGCACCTCGGAGGCAGTCAGGCGCTGCTGCGGGTCCAGGACCAGCAGCTTCCGGATCAAGCACACAGTGTTTTCAGAAACCCGCCCATCTCTGTCAAGAGACACCACCATGAGGCTGAGAGGAAGGGCACCAGGGGTACGCAGCCAAGGCAAATGTGGATGTATAGCACAGGTGCTGCGGGGCCAAGCAGGGACAGGGATGGGTGGGATGCTGGGGGCATGCGACTGCTCTGACTGGTCAGAGCTGAGCAGCAGGCATTGCTCCATCCACCAATGCGTTCCCTATTCCTGTGCTGTGGCAGGGGAATGGAGGCAGACAGGTCAGGGCCGTGCTCATGCTGGATGAGGCACCTCAGCTCCACTCTCGTGCCTAGGAGAGCAGTGCCTGCTGGGCTCTGGCTCTGCACTGGGCTGAGGCCCTCCCACCCACCTGACATTGAGGAGCTGGAACCAAGGGCAAGGGCAGGGGTGCGGGACTCACTCAGGGATGGTGTACTCGGCAGCCTTGATCTTGCGGAAGAGCTCTTGAGGTATGCTGTCATAGAAGGGGAACTGGCCGTACAGCATGGTGAACAGCACCACGCCCAGGGCCCACATGTCACTGGGTTTCCCACGGTACGGCCGACCTGCAGAGGAAGGGGACAGACGTCACATGGAGCCTTTGCCCTTGGCAGCACTCAAGAGAAGGAACACAGCATCACATGTAGACCAGCCTCCAACAGCAAGCACGAGCATCAGAATCTAGCATTAGAGCCAGTCTGGCATTAAAGCAGCATGGGTAACACCCCACATCCTGCATCACAGTGCTGCCTTCACAAAGGTCCTTGACAAAGGGGCATACTCTGTGTGGAAGTGCAGTTCGGAGCTGGGGGTTCAGGAAGTCAGCCTGCTTCCCTGTGGTGGAAAGAACTATTTACAACAGGGTCTTGAGACGAGTGATGTGCAGGCTCCTGTGACCAGACACTAGGTGCCTTCCATGGAGCTCAGAGCCTGGCCTGTGTCTGTGCCCCAGCCCTGCAGCTTCCCATCCTGGGGGCACTCCCTCAGCCCTCATTCTTCTGGACACAGGTATGCAGTGCACTGGTTCCCAACCTTTTTTTGCTGCAATCCTAAATTGGCCACTGATAGGACCTCCCAACCCAGCACTGCAGGGGCTGCGGGGAGCAGAGTGCAGCAGTGGCCCAGGGACAGGGGAGCCGCCATTGCCCCCTTTGTGCACGGCAGCCCCGACCCTGGGCCATGCACATGAATGTGAATGTGTGTGAACCCTTCGTGACCCTACTGAGGAGGACCCCCCCCCCCCCCCGCCCCCCGCCCGCGGCCCCCCCCCCCCCCCCCAATTTGGGAACCAATGATTTAGGGCCTGGCAAGACTGAGCCCGGTGGTTTCTCTCTCCGGTCCCGTCTCCTTTAAATCTAATGCTGCAGATGCCTGAGAGGTTTCCCCACTGTCCCTAAGTGCTCACTGGTTAGTGTCTGCCCCCTGAAACAGTTGCATTTCAGTGGTGCTTATATGAGCATAAGGCAAAGCACTTGTGGATGTCAGAGACTGAAAAGGCTTCCTGCTACACAAGGCCAAAGCAGGGAGGAACATGGTAGCTTGTAATCATGAATCAGACTGAGGAGCATGAGCCTCAGACTGGCATGGTTTGGGCAGCAAGGATCCTGCCTTGAGCAGGGGGCCAGGCTAGATGTGACCTCCTGAGGGTCCTGCCATCCTGGCTCTGTTAGGATTTGAAGCGAGAAGCATGGGGAACAGGGGAGGAAACCCTGACAAAAAAAATTCTACCACTTGAGCAGCAATCTGCAGGAAGTCAGCTCATACCCCCTCCTCCCCATAGCCTCCACGTGAGAAGGCAAGCTCCAGGCTTCCTGCATCTGGCTCCGATACAACCCTGTCAAGATGCTGTGACTCAGCCTTCAGATGCGATCAGAAACACACGACTGCTGGAGTCTGATGTGACATGCATGGCCCAGTGCTCAGGGACCCCTCCCCTGTGCCCAGGCATGCTGGGAAGCCTCACACTGCAGCACTGGCCCACTACAGGACCCACCATGGGACTGGCGCTTTACACCTTTCACTGCACCACAACCTGGGATGAAGAGAAGGACTCCTGTGACTCACGGGAGAGTCCTTGCTACATTTGCACTCGTGCTCTGCCACACACAGCTCAGCATAGCACCTCCACCACTTCCTCCCCCCTACTCCTCTAGAAGTCATGTTCTGTGAGCCCAAGATTCATGCCATCTAGAAGATAGCTCCTTCCAGTGAGACCTACAACACTGATTCGTTGTGGCTTCCTTTTTTAGCTCCCCCTCACACAGGCACATTAGCAAGGCAGAAGGCAGACAGAGGGCGGCTTCTCTGTACTAGGATCAGTCTCCCAGAAACTCAATGAACATCTTGCTTGTGATCAAGTCTGCGAGTCAGCATGGGGCAAGGGCTGTCCAGACTCCAGTCCTGAATCTGGGGCAGGGTCCGGAGCCTGTGGCTGCTTTGGCCCCGGGGTAGGTATGTAGCCTGTGAAGCCACAGAGACCTCCAGTGGAAAAGAACTGAGAGAGGGAGAGCACAGGAGATGGTCCCCAAGGGAGTTATTGAAGAACAGACCCAAATGCTGCTTTATTCCCCTGCCTTAGTCCAAATTAGCTTTTGACTGGCAACAAACCCTAAAAATGATCTCTCCTTGCCCAACTCCCTCCCTGCTGGAAAAACAGACTCAATCGTACATCAGGACGCAAGGGGACTTCAAAGGCCTCTTACCAGAAGGAAGTGCTGCTTAGTAGTGAGAACATGTACAAATATTACAGAACACTAATGATGGGACAGGGGCTATGAGCTCCCACCAGGAGGGAAGGGGCTGCCTACCACTGAGCACGTCTGGGCTGATGTAGGCTGGGCTCCCTCGCTGATCTTTCAGCAGGTCGTCTTCACTCACGAGGTGCTTTCCAAGACAGAAGTTAGTTATGGTTATCCGGTGAGTCCTGTGGAGGATTACGATGTATTAGTGAGCAGGGAGGCAGGCCTGGAGCCAGCTTTGTGCTGCTCTCCAGGAACACTGTGCTGCTGAGCAGCAGCAGCTGTAACCCTGCCTGCCGGGGGAGATGAAATCCCAAAGTGCTAACGTGACTTGCGGTTCATAGTTTACAAGGTAGGGGGACCCTGTGCTGGCATTTAAAGTCTCCAAAGCTTTATGACCCTGAGGAAGTTGCAGTACTCTCGTTTGAGAAGTAATTCTCTCTGTTTCTCTCAACATGCCCCCCACTCCCCAGTCCTTTCTGTTTACCAGCACTCTGCTGCAATAGTCTTTCATGGCACAGACTTGCTGCCAGACTCTGTGGATATGCGAGGTACGGACAAAGTTGAATCAATTACCCAGAAAGAAGCCCTGCATTTATGTATTTCGTGGTAAAGGGAATTGGGAACTGTGGATACGTGCTTTTTTCACATGAAAATACCGCTATTTCCTACAGGACTGCCTGCTCTAACTGCTTTCACAAAGGGAAATTAATCACCTCTACGTTAAGCTTGCAATAATCAACTGAATATAAAATCTTAACATACAACTTGGAGGACAGAGCCCAGAGCCACTGCCAGGAAGATTATATCATCTTCTCCTTGGAAAGTGTTTTTAAACTGAGACGAGTCAAACAAAACCAAGTGTTGGTTGGAAAAGCCATGATGATTTTTAAAGAAAGTAAGATGTATTTGAGGAGCTCCCACAAGCCTCTGCTGTTAAGGGATGTGAAAAGCAGAGCATCAAGAGACATGCTGGGAAAGAAGAGAAACATCTAAGCAATGCAGTGTTCACACCCATGCAGAAGTGCTCAGGGTTGCCTCGTTTTATTTAGTCACTTAAAACTGATCTAATCTGTAATCACAGAACCCAGTTGCTGCACTTGCTCTTGAGGAAGACTGAGCTAGACATAGTTTTAGAGCATGCACGTGTTCCGGGGGGTGGTACCTTCCCCATTTTCATTCTGCCAGGAACATGACACGTGCAGTTTAAATGCCGGGGGCGGGGGAGAGAAGCAGGCAGCCCATCGCACTCCTCCAGTCAGCAGAGGAACAGAGTTTTTGCATCAGCATGTCAGGCACAGGAAGAGCACATCTGATCAGCCCCAAGCCACTGGTCCTCCCCCGTGAGTCTATTCAGAAATACCTCCCATCCTTTCCAATGATTCGTGGCTTTAGAGGATACAGCAAACTTCTCTCTCACCACAGCTGACTTTTGTTGCTTTTAAAACTCACTGTTTTAGCAGAGCACAAACTAGCCATGTGTTGGCCCAAGCAGTTTTGTGCATCTGAAGGCTGGTGTGCGGCCAAATGCCTTTCCCTGCAGGCTACTGAGGGGCCCTTGCACAGCCATGACTAACAGTCTGATGCTCCACTCCATCTTTTGCCTGGAGCAGGAGGCAAATACTGCAACTCCTTCTGACCGCTTCTCTTCCCACTAGGCAGGACCCTGATCCTAAGCCGGAGGTCAAAGGTTTCTCCTCTGCCAGATGTGAGCATTAAACACTGCAAGCTAACATAGGAATCTCTGAAAGCCATCAACGGTTGCAGCAGAAACAGACAACCCACTCTTGGGAGCAAAAGCCTCTTTTTGCCTTCCAGGAGGCACTGGGGTCACTGTGGGCAGGTACTCCCAAGCAGATGCTTTCTCCTGGGAGCCAGCGTTATAGGATTGCTGGAGCCGAGTTAAGACTTTACATTCCCACAGCCTCTCTCCATCTCTCACACCCTTCAGCCCCTTAACAGACTGGCAAAAACCTAAGCAAACAAGAGAAATTCCTCTAGGACACTGACAACAATCCAGGATGCTGCGGGTAAACACTGCTGCAGCTTCAGCACAAACGAGGAACTGCATTTGAGACCAGCATATCCACAGCCTTTGAAAGGACATTTATGCCACAGAAGAGCAAGCAGGATAATGTGTCAACCAATGTCACTGGCTTGCCAAGGCCACTCTGAGAAGTCTCTGAACTCTCCTATAAGCCGATTCCAGCGGATACAACAGACTGCCTTCCTGAGATGGAGCTGAGCAACCAACTTGGCAGTCTGACCATTCAGGAAAGACCTGCCCAAGCCAGTGAGGTCCCAAGTGATGACAAAATGCATGCACATCCCACTGCTACCACGTGCTGTTAGGTTGTAACCTTTCCCCATGCCTTGTAACTAGTTAATTATTCAGGGAAGGAACTGTGCTTTCCAGCTTGTCTGTAAAGTGACTTATTCATGCTGGAAATTAGTTCATTATAAGTCAATAAGTTAGAACTTGTATCAGTTCAACTAATGGGAACAAGGAAAATATTTTCAGCACTGATGAAGAGAACCAGATAGAAAGGCTATATTTAGATTAGTAAATATTTTACTACAAGCTGTTACACAGTATTGACTGTCAGTGATTTGATTTTCTTAGTAATTACAGTACAGATTGCAGCACCGGGAGTTCATTTAGCATGAAGGGAATTTAAGTATACGAGCAGTGGTGCTCGACACAGCTCAGTTGTAAAACACTGGATTTTGCTCTTCTAGGTTCCACAGACAGCTTTGGGAAAGCCATGGACTCGCATGGTTCCTGTCCACATCCCAGTGTGTACACAAAATGGGGTAAAGGGGTCCAACTACCCATCTCAAAGGAATGTTGATGCTTTCATTCTAAAGCCACAGCCTCTGAGACTAGAGACTTGAGACTATCTTTCAGGCTTCTCTGCCATTTTCATAGTAAAGTGTCCCACTCTATGTTAAGGTGGCAATGCACCATCTCTAGCAATCACTAAAGATGCACGTTAATAGCCCACTAAAAAATAACCATGACGACTTATTTTTGGATGGAAGCAGGAGTCCAAACTTGTCCATATTCAACAATGTTCTCCTCTGGTTTGGAAGTTCATTACAAAGCGAGTTTATGGAGCTGTTAAGTCAGTGTTTCATATCAATGAAACCAGCTGTACAAACAGGAAACTGAAAACTAAAAATGCTTGGAAAATCTCACTGGGCGTCTTGAAAATAAAAGGGCATTAGACACTATTACAATGCAAAAAAACCAGGCAGCTCCAAATCATCATAGAGCGAGTCACCTCCAGGTAAGGACAGTTATTATGAAACCCAGGCTGACCAAAAGGCCAAGAGTGCAAAACAGCCAAAGTGTGCAGGTGCAGTGCATGTCATTCCTGGAACGACTTGTTAAAGCACTTTAATCTGATAATCCACAGGACAGTGTCCTATGTTGACTGCACAGGCCCCAAGATACCAAGTGTTCTGCAGTACTGGCACATGAAAACCTCCAGGATGAGCGGTTAGATTGTGTACAGGCTGAGATGCAACTGTTGTTATTTCCAAACCAAAACCTAAGAGCAATTGGGAGTCTAAAACTGGATAAAGTTGCTACCATTGTATTTCAAGAGGTGGAGAAGGTGGCCTGGATGGCCAAACATGCAGGAAGCCCTAAGGAAAGGAAGGGAATCATCTGACACCTACAGCTGGAAGGCCATGTGAGAGGAACACAGCGAGGCACCCAAAGGTTCACTCACTGCAAGTCTTACACACTCTTTGTAAAGTGTATGTGAGCACAGGCAGAAGCTCACTGGACACATGCTCAGGTATACAGCTCCTGTTAGACCCACTCAGTTTAAGCTCCAGCTAACCAGCTAAGTTTACTCTGCTTCAGACAACAAATAGGCTGAGGGCAGGCAGCAAGTCTGATGTCCTCCAGGATAAATTGGAGACCCTCCATTTCCCGCAGAACATTTTTTCATTTTCTCTCCACTGCTGTATCACTAGTGACCAGCTTCTCCAGTCTGACTGCAGAGAAATGACGGCTGCATCCCATCAAGGAAATCATTCCCATCCAAAAGGAATGGGGGTGGGGGGTGGTAAACTGAGATTTGCGTCAGCACCATTTGCTTTGTATGAGTCACGGTTCAGCTATGACCTTTTGGCTGATGCCATGCGTTTTTTCCTTTTCTAGGAACTTACTCCTGGGGATGGTGGGGCTGTGTGCCCTGATGCTTCTGGGAAGGTGGTTCTCCATTGTCATTTCACTAACAATAGGAGGGCCAGAGTCTGCCCCGTGTCCAATGCACACCGCAAGAGGGGATCCCGCTCTTCTGTTCATAGAAGAGAAAGTGGAAGCCTGGTTGCAGTTGGTTATCAGAAGTGTTAACTGCAAGGTCTTTTCTACCTTCCAACCCCTGACTGGCAGCCTAGATGGGGCCAAGTGCAGGGTCAGGTCCCAGGAGTTTAAGCAACTCCACAATATCAGGCAAGAAGCAGCAGCCTGAAGTTGATGGCTTCAGAGAAAGAATAGAACAAAAATAGGCCTTGCCTCTGTGCAGCAAGATAAAATGGGGAACAGCAACTGATGTCTAGGTCACAGGGAGGGGAGCTTGAAGCCAGCCATCTGGAGGTGGGTTCTTGAAGTACCTGAACGATGGTTTCTGGAAGGATCACTTGGAAGGACCTCAGTCTGGCTGACCAGAGTGACAATGGCAAGAAGCATGACTGCAATAAGGACAGGATCAGCCTACAGGTTATTTAGTGGATCTTGCTCCCTACACATAGAGAGACGTCACTGTACTGACCACGTTTTGATTGTGAATCACATCCAGGCAAGGACAGTCATTATGATATCCACACTGACCTAAACGCCAAGAGTGCACAACAGCTGAAGCATGCAGGTGCAGTGCATATCATTCCTAGAACTGCTCGTTAAAGAGCACAAGTCTGCCTTATACATTCAAATGATAAAATAGTCCTCAGGTGCAGCAAGAGGCAGAGGTGAGTTTTCAGGTCTCAGTTTGAGCTTGGGGTCAGTAACTACCAAAAACCTGCCCAACTGTTAAACAGAGCATGCTTTGTTAATGAAGCTGGGTGTTTATGAAAACTAAAAGCCAGGTTCGGAGGTACTCTGTGCTGCAGGTGGATCTTGCGTCAAAGCAGCGCCGAGCTTCTTATGCCCTACTGTAAAGGAAACCTGTATTCACCTGTGAGGATGAGCAGAGCTTACAGTTATGCTGGTCTGAATCACAGAACAGGGATTCTTCCATGAGTGTTGCAGTTTAGCATCCAGATATCCAAGCCCTTGCAAACACAAAGGTGCTCTGAGCACGTCCCAGCATTTATGCTGGCTTATTTTGTTTTAGTAAAAAAAAAAAAAAAAAAAAAAAAAAAAAAAAAAAAAAAAAAAAAAAAAAAAAAAAAAAAAAAAAAAAAAAAAAAAAAAAAAAAAAAAAAAAAAAAAAAAAAAAAAAAAAAAAAAAAAAAAAAAAAAAAAAAAAAAAAAAAAAAAAAAAAAAAAAAAAAAAAAAAAAAAAAAAAAAAAAAAAAAAAAAAAAAAAAAAAAAAAAAAAAAAAAAAAAAAAAAAAAAAAAAAAAAAAAAAAAAAAAAAAAAAAAAAAAAAAAAAAAAAAAAAAAAAAAAAAAAAAAAAAAAAAAAAAAAAAAAAAAAAAAAAAAAAAAAAAAAAAAAAAAAAAAAAAAAAAAAAAAAAAAAAAAAAAAAAAAAAAAAAAAAAAAAAAAAAAAAAAAAAAAAAAAAAAAAAAAAAAAAAAAAAAAAAAAAAAAAAAAAAAAAAAAAAAAAAAAAAAAAAAAAAAAAAAAAAAAAAAAAAAAAAAAAAAAAAAAAAAAAAAAAAAAAAAAAAAAAAAATAAAAAAAAAAAAATCAGAAAACCCCAAAGACAATGCCACTTGCATACAACTAGAGCTCACTTCTATTCCATTCTCCCCAAGGTCCTACTAAGAAGAACCATTCTCCAGTATACTCTCCTGCCACTTGCCAACCAGCAAAAGTGAAGTTGTTTGCTATGCTGCCTTTGCTAGACAACTTTTACAGATTTGTAACTTTGAGGCCAGCAAGAACCATTATGATAATCTACTCTGATCTCCTCTACAGCACAGTGACAGGCCATCCACAAGAGCTATCCTGCATTTGAGAAAGTAAGAAAATAATCCTTCCTCACCTAGCACAGAGGATGAGACTTCTGCTGAATTTCCTGGGGAAGCTTCAGAATCTGATCCCTTAGCCTGAGTGGCAGTATGCTCAAGGTATGTGAATGTGAGGCATTAACACCAGAAACAGAAAGGTCATCTACAGTAACTGTGCCACTGGTAACACCCCTGGCCAAGGTAATGGACAGTAAGAAGTTTCTGGCTCAACTCCATCTAGAATTAGGAAATGAAATTTGGTCATCACTTGGTTTCAAATGCCATTGCTTCCCCTGTATAAACTCTGCTCTGAAGCACTGCCATGGTGCACGACTGTGATGGATCAGCAGCTGTATAAGCAAGGTGCAATACTATTGACACTGCATACGACCTGGTCAGTGGGTGAAATTGGTGTGCGCTGGGTTACAAGATATCCTGTATGATCAAATGATAGTTCTAGCTTAATAAAGGCTGTGGGAAAAGGCAAGGAAACACCATGATAACTGCAGATAAAGAACTTCCTAGTAAACAAGGGGTGGGGGAGCATTACAGGGCAAGGACATATTCCCAGACCAGGGGTCTGCCAGTGCTGGTAGCTAGAAGATCAAAGGACACAAACCAGTTTAAAAGCCTTTCTTTGGGTGGGGTGGGGGAGAGCTGTTTGTAGTGAGAACAGACACACAGGTCCCGGGAGAGCAGCAGAAGTGTGAAAGCACCAGGGTCTTCCCTGCACCCTAGGGAACTGTACATCTTAGGAGACAGGCATGTGCACAGAGTGGTGTGTTGTTTTAATATTGTTTTCTCTTAAACACATCTCTTCTCCTACTTCCCTCCAAGGAGGCTGAACACCCGAGCCACTGCCCCTACAGAAACAAAGCAGCAGGCACTGGAGTGGCTCAGATCTGCTGAAGCAAATCATGTTAGAGGGCTGCAGCCAGAGTCCAGGTCCAGAGAGCAAGAATCAGGTAATTCCACCCCAGGACCTTGTAGGAGGAGGGGGGGCAATGGGAGGGTTTACTCAGTGCCCTACAGTTGGCTTTGTAATGGTGACTAGCGAGTCCCAAGGCACAG